AGTGACAATGCCGAGTGCGATGCCGGCGAAACGTCTGGGAATGCACCATGTCCACGATCCGACGTAGAGGATTACGATGACAACTATAGCTGAAGTGTTCAGGCAAGATGCGTCCAGCTTAGTCAAGCAGACAACACGACCAAGTTGCGAAAACGAGATCGGCTCACTTCTATGATTTTTTGTTTCAACGATTTCTGACACATGACAGACGGGGGATAGACGCTGATTCGTCTGGATCGCAAAACGGCGGGAATTCTCCGTCGGCTTTCGTTGGGGCCAAATTAACTAATCCCTTGCAAGTAGAAGATTTGCTTCGAAATGTCACAAGGTCAAATAACCTTGGTCTTACTTGAATTTCCTTGCCCTGTTCTATTCTTGCCTCTCAAGGAGTCTGCAGTCATTTTATGGGACTTTACGTCCCAGCAAAATGCTGAGTAGACTTTGTCAAATGACTGGCATATCAGCCGGTCCATCGTTGTCGCTGCCTCACGAGGATCCCTTTGCGAAGGAGCTTTTTGTCAAACCGTCACTGGTGTCATCCTCCTTTTGTCACGTGTCTGACCCATCCGAGTCAGATGGGCAGGAGAATGGTTTGCAGCAGACTCAGCCAGAAGGGGAAGATGAGTCCAGAGGAGGCGTATCGGCGATTCTGGGGCCGGAAGTGGCGAAGAATGAGGTGGCGAGTTGGCCCGTGAATGGAGCTTTTAAGATGAACCGGCTGGATCGTCGGGTCGGGGAGAGCGGTCTGATTAGTGCAACCGGGACAGGCTCACTGACCAATCAGATTGCGATGATGACTCAGCCAATCAGAGACGTCTATTCGAGTGGGGAGCAGATCGCCTATCCTCGCCGTCCAAGCCATGCCTGGCTGGGGGAGGTGGGCCTCGGCAGCATGTCCTGCCTGTCAGGAGTGCAGACACAATTGCCTCCCCTCCCACCGCCGAGGTCGCGGACAACATGTGGCCTCTCCTCGTTGTGCCCAACGGGCAAACTGACACCGACGTCACATCCTCGCCGTGCCGCCTCAACTCCCAACCAGGCCCCGCCTGATCCACTCAGTGCCAGGTTGGTACCGACGATCTGTACCGATCCAGCCTGTTTGTTCATTGTTGACCTGCCGAAAAGACGGTCTCCCGTCTACAGTTGCCCCGTGCGTAGGGGACGAGCCGTCTGCCTCGGGCCTCAGACGGTCGCTGGGCCCGTCTGGCCCAAAGTCTCGGACTACTTTGAGACTGAGTTCACCGCCACCCCCTTTTGCCCCGACCCGGATACCTGCCCTTTCCAAAGGGCCCTCTCATCGGAGGCTCTATTGCGGCGGCGAGCTCGTCACCAGGTCGCCCGAGTCTTGAGTAATGGCGACTGGCGGTACCAGAGCTCGAGTCGCCGCTCCCTGCCGGCCGGGCCGTCGTCGCTAGTCGGGCCGGGACTCGAACAGACCGACCAGACCAGCCCCGTCGGAGGCGGTCTGCGGGCACTGCGGCGCTTCGTCTCGCCGGCGGCGCTGTCAAGCGAGTCGGAGGCTCGAGAACCGGTTAGACGACGTCTCACAATCGGACTCGACGGAGGCTGTCGCGCCGGCTCACGATGTCGATTCGCCAGGCCTAGCTCGAGGCAATCGTTCTCGCCAGTTTCCCTGTCGTCACCGCCGACGCTGCTGGTGCGGGCCAAGTCGGCCGTC